ATCAATACCCAAACGTCCATGGCTTTCCTATACGCAAATGAGAGAGAAGAAGTGACATGAAGAAAAAATCCTGTTCACAATTGTGTCCCAGAAAATCAAGTTCCTAGGAATCAGCTTAACTAAGAAGGTAAAAGACCTATACAAAAAAAACTACAAAAGCCTACTTCAGGAAATAAAAGAGGACACCAGGAAATAGAAAGATATTCCCTGCTCATGGATCAGGAGAATTAACATTGTCAAAATGGCAATACTCCCCAAAGCATTGTACAAATTCAATGTGATCCCTATAACGACACCCATGACATTCTTCAAAGAAATGGAGCAAACACTCCTGAAATTCAATGGAACAATAAGACCCACAAATAGCTAAAGCAATTCTTAGGAAAAAGAAAATGGGAGGAATCAACTTCCCCAACCTCAAACTCTATTACAAGGCAGTGATAATTAAAACAGCATGGTAGTGGAACAAAGGAAGACCTGCAGACCAATGGAACAGGGTTAAATATACTGACATCTCCCCCAAACATATGATCATCCAATCTTTGATAAGTGAGCAAGAAATGTAAAGTGGAGCAAGGAAAGCCTCTTTAACAAATTGTGCTGGCAAAACTGGATGGCTACATGCAAAAGATGGGCTCAGATCTCTACCTAACACTATATACAAAAGTAAGATCAAAATGGATTGAAGACCTCAACATCAGACCAGAATCCATAGGTACATTGAAGACAAGGTTGGCAAAACCCTGCACGACATTGACACTAACAGTACCTTCAAAGACAACATGCCACTGATCAAGCAAGTGAAAACAGAGATAAACAAATGGGACTATCTTTTGTCTAGGAAGCTTCTGCACCTCAAAAGAAACAGTGACCAAAATACAAAGACAGTCTACAGAATGGGAAAGGATATTCGCCCAATACTCATATGATAAGGGATTGATATCAAGGATATACAAAGCACTGGTTGAACTCCACAAGAAGAAAACATCCAACACTATCAAAAAATGCGGTGAGGAAATAACAGAAACTTTCTCAAAGAAGAAATTCGAATGGCAAAAAAAGGCACATGAGATAATACTCTACTTCACTCATCATCAGGGAGATATAGATCAAAACAACAATGAGATATCATCTCACACCACAGAGACTGGTCCACATCCAAAATAACAAAAGCAACTGGTTTTGGCATGGATATGGTGAGAAAGGAACCCTCCTTCACTGCTGGTGAGAATGCCAACTGGTTCAGCCCTTTTGGAAAACAGTATGGGTGATTCTCAAAAAATTAGAAATTGAGTTCCCATTTGATCCAGCAATACTACTCCTGGAAATATATCCTGGAGAGGCAAAAACGTACAGTCAAAATGACATCTGCTCTTCTATGTTCATTGATGCACTGTTCACATAGCCAAAATTTGGAAAAATCCCGAGTACCCAGGAACAGATGACTAGTTAAAGAAACTTTGGTACATGTACACAGTGGAATACTATGCAGCTGTTAGAAAAGGTGAAGTCATGAAATTTACACACAAGCGGTTCTACATGGAAGGTATCATGCTAAGTGAAATGAGCCAGAAAGAGAGGGACAGACATAGAAAGACTGCACCCATCTGGGGAATATAAAATAACAGAATGGGGTCAAACACCCAAGAATAGTTGAGATAAGTAACAACAGGTCTGCTCCACAGCTTGGAAACTGGAAACACATGCTGGGAGAATAGGCAACTCAGATAGAGAAGGTAACACCAAGTAAAGGATGTTTGGAGGACTCGCTTGGGATGCGAGATGTGTGCTGAAAGTATACTATAGACAGAACACGATGGCCACTCAATACCTCTATTGCAAACTACAACACCCTAAAGGAAATAGTGAGCAAAAGGGAATGCCCTGCCTCGAAGGCGGGTTGGGGTGGGGGGATAGGGTCGGGGGTGGGAGGGCTACTGGGATCATGGTGGCAAAGAATGGGCACTGGTAGAGAGATGGGTACTCGATCATTGTATAACTGAAACCCAAGCATTAAAGTTTGTAAGTCTACAACTGTACATAATGGTGTTTCACTAATATAAATAAATAAATAAAATAGGCCTGTTAAACTAAATAAATAAATGAGTAAAAATAAATAAATAAAATGTGCCATTCTATGGCCAAAAGGCACGTGAAAAAATGCTCTTCATTTCTAATCAACAGGAAGATTCACATCAAAACAACTGGCTCACATCCAAAAGAACAAAAGCAACCAGTGTTCACGTGGATGTGGGAAGAAAGGGCCTTTCCTTCATGGCTGGTGGGAATGTCGACTGGTTCAGCCTTTTTTGGGAAATAATATGGATTTTTATCAAATAATTAGAAATTGAGCTCCCATTAGACCACGCAATACCACTTCTGGGAATGTATCCTGGAGATGCTAAAAAGTACAGTAGAAATGATACCTACACTTGTATGTTCATTGCAGCACTATTTACAACAGCCAGAATCTGGAAAAAACTCAAGTGCCCGAGAGCAGATAACTTGGTTAAAGAAACTTTGGTATATCTACACAAAGGAATACTATGCAGCTATTAGAATAGATGAAGTCATGAAATTTTCATATAAGTGGAGTGACGTGGAGAGTATCATGTTAAGTGAAATGAGTCAGAAAGAGAGAGACATACATAGAATGACTGCACTCATTTGTGAAATATAAAGCAACATAATGGGAGACTAACATCCAAGGATAGTAGTGATAAGGCCTGGAAGCTGGCCTCACATGCTGGGAGAAAAGTCAGCTGAGATAGAGAAGGGACTACCAAACAAAAGCAAAGGATACTTGGAGGGCGCACTTGGGATGAGAGATATGTGTTGAAAAGTAGACTACAGACCAAACATGATGGCCACTTATTACCTGCATTGCAAATCACAACACCCAAAAGGAGAGAGAGAGAGAGAGAGAGAGAGAGAGAGAGAGAGAGAGCAAAAGGGAATGTGCCTGACACAGAGGCGGGGAAGAGTGGGGGAATGTGGCAGGAGGGGTACTGGGAACATTGGTGGTGAAAAATGGGCGCTGGTGGAGGAATGGATACTTGACCATTGTATGACTAAAGCGTAATCACGAAAATGTGTAAGTCTGTAACTGTATCTCATTTTGTTTCTTTACAAAATTAGAAATAAATAAATAAATTAATTAATTAAATGTGCCGTTCTAGGAGGTATGCTGAAGGGTGAAAGAGAACTTCAGGATATTGGTAAAGGGACACTAACACTGGTGGTGGAATCAGTGTTGGAATATTGAAAATAGAACACAATTATCAACTATGAACGCAACTATGAATATCATATTGCCATGATATTTTCTAAAATTCGATGTAAAAATTAATTTTAAAAATGTTAAAAGAAGAAACTAATGTTTAGTAAACCAAATCAGAAATTAAATGGGAGATGTCACAACAGACACCACAGAATGCACAGGATCATCAAGGAACTGGAGTGACAGAACAAAGGGTAGGCACTTGCCTTGCATGTGGGTGACTCATTTTCAGTCCCAAGCATCCCATATGGCACTCCAAGCATCGCCAGGAGTAATTCCTGAGTACAGAGCCAGGAGTAAGCCCTGAACATCATCAGGTGTAGCCCCAAAACAACAACAACAAAAAAATTCAAAAGATCATCAGGGATTACTGCAAAAATATTTGCCACAAAATGGGAGAACCTAGAAAAAATGGATACATTTTTGGAATCTTACAACTTCCCAAGTTCGAATCAAGAGAAAACAAAACAGCTTAAAAGGTTAACTACAATTAATAAAATCACAACAGCAATCAAGTCTTAGCAATAATAAAAGTGATAGCCCAGATGATTTACTAGTGAGCTTTTTCAAACTTTTAAAGACCTACTCTCAAAGACCTACTTTTCAGACACTTTCAGAAAGTTAAAGAAACAGAAACCCTCCAATCAGTTATGAGGCAAACACTATCCTACTACCAAAAGAAGAGACATTACAAAGAAAAAAAAAGGAAAACTATAGACCCCATATCCCCATATCCCTGATGAACATAGATGCAAAAATCCTCGACAAAATATTAGCAAAAAGAATCTAACAATTCATCAAAAGATCATACACCATGACCAAGTAAGTTTCATCCTGGGGATGCATGGATGGTCTAATATACATAATATACCAAATCAATTCAAGGGAAAACAAAAATCATATAGTGTCAATAGATACAAGAAAGGATTCAACAAGTTCTAATACCCATTCTTGATTAAAATGCTTTAAAATAAAATGCTAAAAAAGGGGGATGTTAAAGAAATTTCCTCAACATAGTTAAAAGAATTTACCATTAGTCCATAGAAAACATTATAGTCAGTGGTGAAAAACTGAAAGTCTTCCCTCTAAAACTTACTACAAAACAAGGTTGCCAAGTCTAGCCATTACTATATAATATAGTATTGAAAGTCTTCACCATAGTAATTAGGCAAGAAGGATATAATGAGGGTATCCAAATCGAAAAAAAGTCAAATTCTCATTATATGTAAAATAAACAGCATATAGTGAGAATCTGATGGCATATAATAAGATACTATATTTAGGAAATCCTAAAGTCTACATAAAAAAAGCTACTAGGAGAGATGGAGCGATAGTACAGAGGGTTTTAATTTATCACTTATCAAGTATATAAAACTAGACGGAAATAATGAAGATAGGAATTAATTTTTCAAGTAACTTCATGAATTTAATAGTATAATCTATTAGTGAAAGAAGGAGGAAGAGTGCTTATTTGAGGTTCTTATTATAGAAGAACAAGGTAAGGTTCAAAAAAATCATTGTATTTTTAGATCATTATATAAGAATACATTGTTTTTAACTATTCCTTTTAGTCTCTCTGAAACCTTTTGTTGGAAAACATCTAGTTTTAAAGAGTAGGCATTTAAATGTGAGAACATCTCCAAAGATGGGAGTTATTAAAGAAACAGAGATGATTGGTCTTATAATATTTGTAATTCTTCATAACCTGACCTCCACTTACCCAGTGGCACATTTCTTGTATTCATTGCCAGAGAAACCACAATTGCCAAATCTGTCACCTTTAGAATTCACATCAATGAAACAATCTCTTGGGGCTGCCTTGGCTTCTGTAACATTAAAAATTAAAAATATATATGTCAACTTCATTTAGAAATAAAAATATTCCCTATAGCAGTCCTGAATGAATTGCTTCAATCACTCTAAAGTAATTTCAGGCATTACAAATGAACATTTTTGTTCTACACTGTTTCACATATCCTTAACAATAAAACACAAAAAAAAGTACTTAAAATTATATTGTACATAAAAGTTATCTTGAATTCAAATAGTCAAGTTCTGAAAGAAATTTTACTAGACAAAAAGAAATTATAAATAAATCAAGAAACATGTAGAGTATCAAGGCATTTTTCAGTGCATTTATCCTCACTGCTCTCAGAGATTATCGTCTGCTCTCTGGGTATTTCAATGGGAAGAGTTGATGAAACAAGATCAGCTATTATTTTTTGTTTTATTATTAACCTTTGATGGATGTTTAATCTGTTAATTCAACAGATTGGCAAGCAGCTATGTTAGCTAACAAAATATGAATTTATACTTGTTTTCTTGTATTTTATATATGTATCACTTAATGGCCTGTCTTTTCACTGAATGATGAAAGAAATATTCTATTTGTAAATTTTCAAGTAAAATGTCATTACTTTCTGAATCACCAAAAATTTGTTCCATATTCCAAAATACATTTTCATATTACAAAATTCCATATTCCAAAATAAATCAAATGTCCAATGCTAGACAATGAAATATGATGCAACTACAAGGAAAGATGAAGGACTGGATAACTAGTACAACAGGTAAGGTGGTAAGGTGCGGCAGCCAACCAGAGTGCTGTCTCTGGCATCCATGTGGTCCCCCAGTCATACCAGGAAAGCCCAGAGTACGCTCTCACCACCATTGGGTGTACACTGCCCACCACCTACACCCACCCACACAGACAAAACACACAAAAAGATAACTGCTGCAGTTTGCGGCAGCCTGGATGGGAGTGAAGGGCCTCATGTTACATGAAATGAGTCAGAGGGAAGACAATACTGGATACTCTCATTCATCTCTAGATACAAAAAACTAGAGAATAGACAGTATAAAGTGATAACAAACTCTTGACTTTTGATGGTAGAACTGAGATCATCAAACAATGAGGAGAAGGGCAGAAGTAGCACCTAAAAGTGACATCAGACGTTGCATAAGGATGGCAGGAGATGGACCCGGGCATTTTATTGGTGGTGAAGGAGCAGTAATTATGTATATAAAATCATAAATATAAGCACAGTATAGATTTTATAGCCTGCAACTTTACTATACAAGTCTATTGTTTCTAGGAGTTTCTTGGTAGAGGTTTTAGGGGTTTCGAAATATAGTATCATATCATCTGCGAATAGAAACATCTGCGAGAATTTTATTTCTTCCTTTCCTACCTGGATGCCCTTAATATCTTTTTCTTGCCTAATTGCTATTGCAAGAAACTATACCTAAACTATATCAAATATTTTTTAAATTATATATTAAAAAAAGCCTTGGAATAGTAAAAATCAAAAAATACCAGTACTTTATATTGAATAAAGAACATTCACTGGCCTGTTTTACATTTTTGATACCATGATTGTTCATTTTTTGGAAAATGGATTGGGGAGGAAAGAAGCTGGAACAAAAAGACGCAGATAGGAGTGAAGGAACGGCTCACTGATTTACAGATTTAACTAGCAAATCAGGATTTTGCACCCCAGAGATGCCAAACTCAACACTGGAAGCTCTGCTCTTCAAGCCTGGCAGTTCTGCTGTCTGGAATCCCAATATCCAAGTGATTTCTGGGAACAACAAAGTCAGGTGCAGGTGAACCGCAGCAGTTCCCAATGAGTACTACTATAAGAAGTATGAGCTCTCAAGCTGGGAAGTACAAGTACATGTATGAGAAGCACAGAAAGCCCTAGCAAGCACTAAAACCAGAATGCAAGGAAGCACTACTACAACTAGAGTGTGACCACACATGTGCAAGAACTACCATTAAAGAAGCACGACCCACAAACACACGTGTGAACACGGCAATCCTACCTACAATGCTGGTGTGCACCGCAACTAAATGTTCAAGCCTCACAGCCAAGAGGCATGTAAACCTCAGTCACAGTTATAATTAGAATGAAGGAAAGAGAAATGGGAGAAATACAATGTATAAAAAATCAAAATTTCAGTTCCCCCCAAGTGTCTGCCCACCTTGTCCCTGCGCCACCTTCTCTCCAGGTTTGCCCATCACTGCCCCATGCCCCGAGTCTCATCACACCGAGCCCAGAGAAGACTTCTGGGGACACCTGCCCAAGTTCTGCCCCAGCGCCTGCCCACCTCATCCCCAAGCCGCCTTCTCTCCAGGTTGGTCCACTGGCACGTCCCTGCCCTGGAATGCACCATACCCCCACTGCAGGGCAGCCGGATAGGACCTGGGACTAGCATAAGGAGGTCTGGAGGTGTGTCCTCCACTGTAGTGGGCGTGGACTCCACAGAAGTGGGCATGGCCTTCTGTGTGGCAGGTGACCACTCCCGCTGTGCAGTTAGTTATATTCCCCCTCTCCAGCTAACAAGACTCACATCCCGAACTTTATCACTTAATTCTGTGCAAAACATCCCGGCCACCTCAAACATAATAGGACAATAGTCCACTGGCCTACTCCAATCTCACCAAAAGCTAGTGTACACAAGAAGCTATACAAGCCCAGCATAAAAAACGTGTCCTCAAAAGCTTTACCAGACGCCTAACATAAGTCACAGAGAGATGCCTGAGAGGAAGGATGTATCCTAAAAGGGGAAAAGGTAACCATCATTGACCAAGCCCATCCAGAATCATTTCCCACAGTCAGAGGGAGCGGTGCTACTGAACTGGACAGTTCCACCTCCATACAACCACCACAACATGAAGAAACAGTGCAAACCCCAATAAGAGGAGAGGACAAAGAAAAGAGTACAGAAGCCTCAACAGGGGTTACCCACAAATACAATCTCTCTGATAAAGAATTCCAAAATGAAATGCTGAAATGTTCAAGGAACTCAAAGAAACAATGGAGCAGATATCCAGAAAGTTAAAGGAGGACATTGAAGAAAAAAGGGGAACAGACAGCCAACAAAATACACGAAGAAATGAGAGAAGAAATAAGAAAGCTACAATCAGAAGTGTCACTAATAAAAGTTTCGCTAGATGAAACTAAAAACTCAGTGGGTGCCCATAACAGTAAAATGGCTACAGCTGAAGACAGAATCAGTGAACTGGAAAATGAAAGGCAGGAATTGTACAGACAACAACAAACAATGGGGAAAGACCTCAAAATAGCTCTAAGGTAAATCAGAGACCTAGGGGATGACACCAAGAGGAACAACATTAGAATCATTAGAGTACCCGAAGGTCAGGAAGGCAACCCCAATGAAAAAGCCACAGTTAAAGAAATCAATGCTGAAAATTTCCCAGAGTTAGAGAATGCAGACATCCAGATCCAAGGAGCCAGAAGGGTGTCAGCTAAAAGAGAACCTAATAGAAACACTCCAAGGCATAGCATATTCAGAATGATGAATGCCACAGATATAGACACAATACTCCAAGCAGCAAGATCAAGGGAAATCACATACAAAAGAGCACCCCTGAGATTTACAGCAGACCTTTCAGAAGACACCCTCCAAGCCCTAAAACAATGGTGGGACATAGAGAAAAAAACTCAATTAAGGGCTGGAGAGATAGCACAGCGGGTAGGGCATTTGCTTGCACATGGCTGACCCGGGTTCGATTCCCAGCATCCCATATGGTCCCCTGAGCACCGCCAGGAGTAACTCCTGTGCATCGCCAGGTGTGACCCAAAAAGAAAAAAAAACTCAATTAAATAAATGCCTACCAAGAATACTTTATCTGGCTAAACTCTCACTCAAACTCGAAGGAACGATTTACCACTTTTGTGGATAAACAACAGCTCAGGAAATTCAGAGACTCAAAGCCAAACCTAAAAGAAGGACTAAAGGAGCTCCTGTAAGACAAGAAAGACATTTACAAGCACAACAAACCCCTACAGAAAGATGGCACAAAACCCCATGACAATAATCTCTCTCAATGTCAATGGTCTAAATGCAATAATTAAGAGACACAGCGTGGCAAAATGGATTCAGAAACTGAAACCAACATTCTGCTGCCTACAAGAAACACATCTGAACAGTAAGAGCAAACACAGACTCAATGTCAAAGGATGGAAAACAATCCTGCAAGCAAACAACTCCATCCAAAAAGCTGGGGGGGAGGGGCTATACTAGTATCTGACAACATAGATTTTAGGCTGAAAAAGGTTAGAAGGGACAACGAAGACTATTTTCTATTTATCAAGAAATATGTACAACAGGAAGAAATCACACTCCTAAACATATACGCACTAACAAGGGACCAGATAAATGCTTAAAACAACTGCTAACAAATTTTAAGAAAGACATCACCAGCAACACAATAGTAGTCAGAGACTTCAACACCACCTTATCACCTCTAGATAGATCAATAAGAATAAAACTCACCAAGGAAACACTGGCTTTGAAGGAAGAAATAGAAGAGAAAGGACTAATAGATCTTTATAGGGCTCTACACCCCAAAAAGAAAGAATACACATTTTTCCCCAGTACACAAAGAACATTTTCCAAAAGAGACCATGTGCTGGGTCACAGACCACATCTCAATAGAATCAGTAAAATAGAAATTGTATCAACTATCTTTTCAGACCAGGATGCACTGAATACAGAAGTTAATCACACACAGATGCAGAAAACCAAATCAAACACCTGGAAACTAAACAATTCAATGTTGAACAACGAATGGCTCAGGAAGGAAATGAAGGAAGAAATCAAATGATACTTGGAAACAAACGAGAATGAAGACACGAGCTACCAGAACCTATGAGATGCAGCTAACGCCATGTTGAGGGGAAAATTTATAGCGCTGCACAAATTTCTCAGGAAAAAGGAAAGGGCCCACCTAAATGATTTGACTTCACATCTCAAGATCTTAGAAAAGGACCAACAAAAAGAGCCCAAACCAAGCAGA